GGGATAATATAATAATGTGTGTGTAGATAGTGAGTAATTGAACTGCAGTCACAGGGTATTGTTGAAGTTAACGTTCGTTCATTATAGTGTTTGTTTTAGCGCGAATATTAAAATTAAGTGTATCGTAAAGTTATATTCGGAAAGAATAAACCAGTTTTATTAAGTAAAGACTTGTGTTGTTAAAATTTCGTCGGAACGAAGTTACGGAAAAATCAATTAACAAACGGAGACGTAACAATAGTATATTAAACAATTATAAAACCAAAAAATTTGATGTTTCCTGGAAATATATATCAGTTGAATAGTTACAGCTACTAAGGGCATGAAATTCATGAATTTTTTGTTTTCCTTTATTTTTCCCCAGTATAGCTGGCACTTTTGCCAAGTAATTAGGAAACATTTCCAAATAATAAAGAATGTTTAAAAAATATCATTATTATTGTAAAATCCCTCTAATTACTGCTGAGGTCCAGTATGTATTTATACAGAAAATGAAAGATTTTACCTAAGTTTTTGATCAGTTCTTTATTCTTAGTATTGTAACAAAAAAACACAAAAATCACTTAATATGATGTAGTACATGGACCCCACCAATAACAAATGGCATAAAGATAAGTCACTGATATGTTACAAATTATGCATGAACACAATCAAGATAAAAATTGACTAACCTGCCATACATAAAGCACTGGTGTTTCATTATCAGGTATCTTCAATGGGACAATGAAAGCTAGGTCAAAAAAAAGGCCCAACAGCAAGGGTATGACACCCACTAACAGGAAGATTCCAACAACTGATTTACAAACCTGTAAAGTTTACCAGAAAAATGAATCACTTACAACAAGTCCAGATATAACTTTTCAACTCTAATGAAGATTAAACATGTTTAGTGTGCAGTTGTTGTTTTTTTCAAGTGAAACAAAAACATATATCTAATCTAAGACACATTTTCACAGAGTTGGAAGCGATATTTGAATCATACTGTGCTAAAATCTTTCCCCTTTACTAATTGATTGAAATAGGCCAAATTTGATAGCAATACATTAACTTATATTAATATGTGAGAACATTTCTTTTAACACTTGCAAAATATATACTTCTATTAAATTCAGACCTCATTGAAAAAGATACACAGATTCACTTCTGTAAACCAGTGAAATCATTTTAATATTTATGAACAAACGTTTCAAAAGATTGTTTGTTAAGTGCAAAGCTATACAACTGGCTATCTGTGCTGTGCCAACCATGAGTATTGAAACCAAGTTTTTAGTGTTATAAGCCTGCAGACATACTGTTGAGCCACTGGGGGGCATTTCAAAAGATTAATTAAAAGTTTTCTTTTCTTTGTAGATCTACCATTAGAGTGAATAGTAGCATTCGATAGTGCATGTTTTCATAGTATAGAGCTCTAATGTAAAAATGTTACTCAGTAAAATAATGAAAAAAGTTAATTTTTCAGATAATTATGAACGGTTTTTTTTATTTCAAAAAATAAAATGTTTGCCTATTTGGAAAGGTTTAAGTTTAAAAAATTATAGAATTTTTCACTTCACAAAGTACTTGAATACATATGACTGTCAAGGAACTTTTGTTAATTTTACAGAGTAACTGTATCTCTACCTTTGTTTCACATCACACAGTATTTGCATGCATGATCTTTGCTCACTTCATAAAGTATTTGTATATGAATACCTGTAAAGAAAATAAAGGTTCAGTTATAAAGCAGATGCATGCATATGACTGTCAATCAGTCCTCTTCACATCTAAAGTACTTGCAGGCATAAGATTGTCAATGGACTTTTGTTTACTTTACAAAGTAATTATTACTTGAATGTATGTGACTTTAACTCAACTGTTGATCACTTCACAAAGTAACTGCATGCAGGTAATACTTACTCAACCATTTTTCACTTCACAAAATTATAATTTTCCTACTTTGAAAATGTATTTCCAATAGGTACTTACCTCTACTTACTAGATTAGTTATTCTCGTTCAGTTCTGCCCTCTTTATGCAAACTTTTTCTTCATGCACGCTACAAGCCTTCCACTTCCCCTTGTTGGATTTACTATATTCCAACATGTCTCTCATGTGCATCATCTCTTAACCAATAGTAGCATGATATGCTCACATAACACATGTAACTCCCTCTACACTCTTCTACCGAACCTTCACTTCGAAGTATGGCAGAAGGTGTGAGCACAGGAGAAGTGGGGAGGAAGGGTAGAAAGTGTGAGGGGAGACAAGTAACTATCGGAAATACATTTTCAGTATAGGAAAATTATAACCTCCAATATGGTACTTACCTCCTGTCACAAGATTAGCTAGAATCCTACATTAAGAAGGAGGGGAGACTGCTGTGAGGGAACAAAAGAAGTACCCTCAAAAGCAGCTGAAGGATACCTCTGACAATGAGAGAGATAGATCAATGAGGGGAACTGCACCACTTCTGAGCCAGGTATACTCTTTGCCCATATGTGGTGTGTGTAACATATAAGGGCGAAAATTGATAGGTGTAGAGTGACTAGGGTGCAGTGGACCATACTCGGTAAGTTAACTACATCCAAAACCTCCTCAAGGGGTACTGACCTCCACATGAGGATGGGATGAGGATCATACCTTCTTCACTTCAAACCCAAGAATTAGGGATTATGACCTACACCAATTTCTGGGTATGACATGAGGATTATCACTGATCTATCGATACTGGGAATCAATATCCAGTATCGAAAGGATGTCAATCACATGGTATCAACTCGTGTGAGAACTTATGGTGATTAGTTTGCTCTAATCCAAAACTTCTTAGCAGTATACCAACATCCACGTGAGGGTAGAATGAGGTCTCCCAATCGAAGGGGTGAACTGCAATTTCAATGCCTCAACTCCAGTGTTTATGTAAATGATATCAGGAGGCCACATCATCCAGTAAGGAGACGGCTTAACTCCCGTGTGTGAGTAAATGGTATCAGGAGGCCACATAATCCAGTAAGGTGATGGCTCAACTCCCATGGTTGTGTAAATGGTATCAGGAGGCCACGTCAACCACTAAGGTAATGACTCAACTCCAGTGTTTGTATAATTTTAATCAGAAGACCACATCATCCCATAAGGTGATGGCTCAACTCCATTGGTTGTGAAATGGTATGTATCAGGAGGCCACGTCATCCAGCAAGGTGTTGGCTCAACTCCTCTGGAGGCCATGTCTCATCTACACCAGCAGAACACCATCACCCTACTCTCAACTGAATGGTTCTAGCCCTTTCTTTCTAGAACTCATTCAGCAGCTTGGAACTGGAAAGTGGTAGAAACTCCCCATACTCCATTCAAGGAAAGGAAAGTGACAATGTGGTGGAGAGTCTAGAGGTATATCATCACAGTGCAATGAGTGACCACGAAACCTTATTTTGAATAGCAGACCCTACTGAGCTGTTCACTCAAGGCATGGCAGGGATGGGCAGCAATCCCCTTCTGCTTTACCCATGAAGTCCAGGGATGGTATGGTCTGGGACAGGTATTTTTATGAGGCAAAATATCATGAGGTTATTTACTGTCAAGTGATCTTGTGGAACACCCCTTCTTGACGGTGAGCATGCAAAGCCATGGAAAATCTAGCGAGGGTCAATATGGCTGTACAGTGCAGATTTAGAGTTAAAGAATACCTGGTTAGGCACCACTCGCCACAGAGTGTGATCCATGTGATAAAAAAACTAAAGGCCCTGAACGAACGTCTGGGAGTTTGATGTATCTGGAATGAATGCATGAGCATGGAAAATAAAAACTTTACGGTATCAAGAAAAATGGAAGGTATGGGATAAGGCCACCTGATATCTGGAAAGCAAGGAGACCAAAGACTCATGGTCAAAGAGCCAGGTGAGAAATTCTGCCATACAAGCCACAGAAGACTGTTAGCAGACAAAATGTGGAACGATTTCCACTTACATTCGCATTCTTCCATGGAAGATGGCCTTATGGAACAAGCTAACAAAAAGCCAATTCAACGTGTGAAATTGGATTGCCCCTTCAAAAACTGGACAAAAGCCAGGCATGAAGACACAAGATGTGGAGAATGGGACGTATAATTTGGGATTGAAGTTGACGAAGACGGGAGAGAGAAATGTATCTATTTGGGGAAAACCCTACTGATGGCAAAGATCCCTGAAAACAAGTGGATTTAATGCCTACTCTGTTGGATATCTTTGGTTGGGGTGCAACAGATGATCCACAATGAGATTGAAAGCACCTGATACATGACATGTGATAAAGTGAATATGATGTGCATGGGCCCAGTATAATAGATCCAATGTCTGAAAGTATAGATCTCTGGACCTGGTGCCCACTTAGTGGTTGATATGTGCCACCACCATAGAATTGTGCAAATGAACCATCAACAGACAATCATAGGCGATAAGAACGAAGTGATGCAATGCCTGATGTACTGCTAGAAGTTCAAGAACATTGATATGCAAGATGGTTTCATCTGCAGACCAATGGCCCAAAGCTTCCTGGTGATTGGCCCATGCCCCCATCCCTAAAAAGACGTAGATCTGGACACAGGGAAGCGGCACTCCTGCCAAAGTTTGGGCTTTATCCAGTCACCAATGCAGCTCATCTCGCAGGGAAGTAGGAAGGGAAATAGGGGTGGAAAGAGGATATCAAGCAAAGTTCCATAGTTTGTGAAGTGCCCACTGAAAGGATCTCATATGGGCATAACCTAGAGGAACAAGTGCAGTCATGAAGGACCACATCCCCAAAAGTAATAGATCCTCATGAGCAGTAAGTGATTGAGCCAAGAGGGCATGGTAAACCAAAAGTTTCATTGAATGAAGACGTAAAGGAGAAGGCAGAGCACGACTGATATTCATGTCTAAAAAGACCCTTAAATGGACTAGATACTGAGTGTGTCAAAGGAATGACTTCTCCAATCTGAATAACCAGTTCACCCAAGCCGTCACAGAAAGGAGTTGGTGAGTATGAGTGGGCAATTCCTACTCAGAATGAGCAAGAAGGTGCCAGTCATCCATATAATTATGAAGTTACATACCCAGAGTATGGAGATGATGTGCAAAAGCTAGGACTATGCGACAAAACACATAGGGAGCCGAGGAAAGTCCGAAGGGGGTGCACAAAATTGATAAACCACCCAGAGATGGACAAACCTAAGGTAAAGTTGAGACTGATGTGCTATCGGGATGTGGAGGTATGCATCTGAGACATCAATCTTTGTCACCTGCAAACCTGGGGAATATGCCCATCTCAGGGTGGGAAAAGACTTCATGGTGAACTTGAGGAGTAAAATGAAGTGGTTGAGGTAAGATAAATCGATGACCAGCCACCAATCCCCAGTTTTCTTGGGGACAACGAAAAGACGGGAATAAAAATCCCCAGAAAGATGGTGAACTGGTTTGATTAGCTGCTGCAAAAGCAATTTTCGAACAGCCACTGACAGATGCTGGTAGGTCATGGGATCTGGAGGTGTAGCGAAGAAAATGGGGCAAGGAGAAAAGGTAGGTGGAGAAAGAAACTAGATAACAAATCCTTCTAATGGAACCCATATTACCCATTGATCGTCTATGAAGGGATGCCAGTGAGGAAGAAACTCTAATAGTCAAGCTCCCACCGGACCTGAACCCACAGGGTAATTACCAGTACTGTTGGCAATAAGGATTGCATCATTAAGGATATCAATGAGAAGTACCCTGATTAGAAGGAATGGGTAAGGGTTGGGAGGATGAAGGACAGGAAATGGGAAGAGATGGCATATGAGGCTCTGACCAAGATAAACAGGCTACAAGAATCGTAAGGGTTGATTGCTTGCAGACTGATGCCACCTGAGTCTCAATAGTTTCTGGGACTGTATCAAACACAATGTCTCAGAAAAGATGCAAGTCACAAATCCCCGAGATAGGTTGAGGGTAAATTCACCCAAGCCAAAACTGCATCCTGACCTATAAAGTCCCAACAACAAAGAAACCACGTTTTTAATGACAGAGTTGACAAAGAAATGTGGACTAAAGTGGAGGAGAAGAGAAGTGTAAGGGTATCTGCAGAAAACCCCTCAGGATTTTTATGGAGAGCCTCTCACATGAGATGTATGGAAGAAAGATACCATAAGAGGTTGGTTAGGGATTAGACTTAGGCGAGAATATTAGACATGGGTAGGACTAACATTAGATTCTCGAGCCACCTCCAAATAGGTAATAATGAACCTAACAACTGCTGATCTGAAAACAGATAGTTTGCATGATGGTAAAAAAGGGCAAACTGATCAGAAGTCCTCGGGGAGCATGGCCTGCTGATCCCCTCACATAATTGTGAGGCAAATTGATCAGCATGTACCCAAATATCAGGAGAGGGATGAAAAACCAAAAATGGTTGGAAAGCTTTTTCAAGGGGAATAAGATATAGGGGAAAGAGATAAAATATCGCAAACCTGAGACACAAAATCCATAAAGACTGAATAAGGTCTAGGTGATTCTTCAGGCTGTAAATCAGACGGCACAGCAAACTCAGGAGGTGGGAAAAGATGATCAAAGGCCTCGTCATTCTGAACAAATTCAGCTGACTCAGTAGGAGCCTGGGCAATGTCAGGAGAAAAAGGTTGACCCATGTTACACTCAATCTCCCAATGTATAAAAGTAGAGATCCACCATCAGGTCGCCCACACTTGAGGCCTGAGAAAAAACACTGGTCATCGGTGTGACCCCCAAGTGGTAACGTGAACCTCGGAATTCATTGCATAAGAAAAGGTTCACAAAAGTTGAGTGCAAAAATAGAGTGACAAGAAGGAACTGGTATAAAATAAAATAAAGTCCAAAGGAACCACTTTGTGTGAAAAAAAAATTGTCAAACTGAAAGCACTAGGCACACAAAAGAGTACATTTTAACTCAAATGCTGCCAAACGAGAGGTGAAGATTTGGTAAAGGAATGTAGAGGGAGTTACATGCATCATGTGAGCATATGCTACTATTGGTTGAGAGATGACGCATGATGATTTACATGAGAGACATATAGTAATTTCAACAGGGGGAAGCAGATGGCTTGTGGCATGCATAAGGAAAATATTCGCATATAGAGGGCAGCACCGAATGAGAATAGCTAATCTTATGAGAGGAGGTAACTACCTTATCGGAAATATTTGAGTACGTAACTCAAATTGAACTTTTGATTATTTCACAAAGTATATACATGCAGTTAATTTTCACTAAGTGTTTTTAGCTGTGGCATTGTGGCTTAAAGAATGACACTGAGGTTTTCAAGTACAAACTTTTAGCTGATAATTCTGTCATCTCTTGACCAATTTGAGATCTAATTACAGTTTTGAAATCAGGAGGTCAAACTTTTCCAATCAATGTAATTAACCATACCCAAGGTCTCATTAATTTACTCTAATCCTGCCTACAAGAATGTCAATTTGACGGTAGGCTAGTAGAGATCCTGATGAGTAATAAAATTGAATCTGATATACACATACCCCATGTTTAGTATTGCTGGCACACAAAAATATAGCTAATAAAAAGGAAAAACAAAAAAAAGGTCTCAAAATTAATTTACTTTAATCCTAATTAATAGAATTTCAAATGTTGCGGCTATTGAAGCCTCCCTCTTGTTTCACTTCACAAAATATTTGATTGCACATGACTTTAACTCAAATTATGATCACCACTTCATAAACTTGTTGCATGCTTATAGATTTCACCGTAACAACAACAAACAACTCATTTTGAGTGTCTGAAGATCTCAAGAATGGTCATTTTACTACATTTAAGTCACTTTGGTAATACTACAGTTTAAAACTGTGTATTACTGAGTTTCATCCATAACTTTCTGTGTGGTGCTTTACATATGTTAAATGTTCTATTAACAAAAAATTCACAATATGGCTGTTCATAAATTTATTTTCTTCCCTATTTATATCACTTATTTATTCCTCCACAACATTTTTAGTGAACCTAGTGTGTGTGTGTGTGTTATCATAATTTCCAAGGTTTGTGCAAGCGCATGTAGTTAATTCATTCTTCACTATTTTTCTCAACTTACACTTTATATTAATTTCTGTTGTTTATTTTGGTTTTTAGAGCTAAACCACATTGGGCTATCTGCTGTGTCAACTGTGGGGAATTGAACCCCCAATTTTAGCATTGTAAATCCCTAGACTTACCACTGTCCAACCAGGGAACCTTTATATTAATGAAACAAACAGATACAGAAGAAGATTAGAAAATAACTGTGCAAAATGTTTTTAAGACTTCACAAAGCAGCTTTAACAAAAATGTCGTACAACTGTTTCCAGCATTACTGTGATATATTTCTATAAATGAATCTAAGTCTGAAATGTTACATTTGCATTTTCTCTCAAGAATGATGAGTATACATATGCTTCTCCAATCTTAATCTTGTGGTACAAGAGTCACTATATATTGACCTAAAAATAACTGTGTACACTTTACAGTAAGAGTTGGGATATACTAAAGTACTTACAACAGCCAGCCAATTTTTAACTTTCTTTGTAAAGAGATTCCACTGGGGATAATTCTGGAAAGTTGTAGACAGAAAAATAATTAGCCTGAAGCTCAACCATATAACAGACAGACCACAGGTGATAGTGTATGCATCATGGATGTCAGGTTTTTCAAACAGCACACGAAGAACTACACGTCCCAACAGCACTACAAGAATATAGTATGTATTAGTTTTGTGATGCTGTATGATGTACCATAAGGTATGTAGGACACAACCAAAAACTTGTTACTTTGTCAGCTTCATTCAGTGTTGATAGACAGAAAAAAAAGAATTATTGAAAAAAGGCTGAACTTGCTATACAAAATAACTTAGTAGCCACTTGTTTAATCTATCAAATTTGTATAAAAAAATCCTCTAATAACACAATATTAGAAACTAATAGAATTCACTATCAAGCACTTATTCCAAAATAAAGTGAGAGTTGAGAATTGTGGTATTCATAAAGCTGGTAGCTTAGTTGGTTGAAACATCTGGCCAGTAATCAGATTAGCTAAGTTATATCCCATCTGTTGTGTGTACTTTTTTGATAAAAAAAACCTCGAAATTTACAGGACCACTCTTCAGTTATCTGCGACTTAAATACAAAATTAGAAACTTTATGGGAACCCATGGCTCTGAATTAACATTACAAATATGACAATATATATATATATATATATATGTGCAAATAAATAAGATAAATCAGTTACATTTCAATAGAATTATGTCCATGGTTATTTTAACCCAATACAAAACACTAGAGACAATTTTTGTCACATTTTGTTACTGCTAAATATGTAGTTTTAACAACAAGCAAGTCATAAATACAAATATTAACAGTAGCATGGCTTGTTAAACTTTTAAAGTAGATGGGTAAGGATATAATCCAAATCCAAATAAAACAAAATCTGTTTTATCTGAGATATTCTTTGATATTTAATGTATAAGAGAATACAAAGATACAAACTTAAACACTAGAAACTAGTAATGAATTTACTTTTCAAACTAGAAATAAGCATTTACAAAAATCATATATGATTTTATTCTAAAGATCTGAATAGAAGTCAAACAACTGACTTAGTTAAAAATATATGCATGTTTATATATATTCATTTTCATTGCACTCTTCAAAATATTATTTTTCAAGAACCTAGTTTTGCTTCATCTATGTGTTTATGAAAATATGTATTTATAAATAGCAATGTCAATGTTATATGTATACCCACAATTTTATGTAAACATAAGAGTTTTTGAAATAATACTGGTTTCAGTGAATATAATAAAGAATAGCAGATATGTATATATTTTTTTTTTAGTATCAGAATAGTTTGGCCTTTTCTTCCATGGTTATGAAATTTAAGTAAATTACATACAAACATTAAATCAATAAATCATCTAAATGTATTCCACATTACTAGACTAGTACCTAATCACCAAAAAAATAGTGATAGTACCCAAAAACTGATTTCACAAGAAAGTTAGTGTTGACATGCCAATCCTGAGAAAAGTAATAAATAAAGGCTTTAAATAAAAAACTACTTCAACGTAAAGGCTAATAACAACAAGCTAATCCAAATGTAAAGGCTAGTTTTGACATACCAATCCTCAGGAAAACTAACAAATAAAGGCTAATAGTAACAAATTATGCCATATTACACCGTAATAACAAGAAGCTAATTCAATATAAAGGTTAGTAACAGCAAACTAATCTAAAAATAAAGTTTAACATCAATAAACTAATCCAAAAGTTTAGGTTAGTAACAATAATTAATCCCAGAGTAATAACAAACAAATTCCAAAGTAAAGGGTAGCTCCAATGAACTAATTCTAATGTAAATGCTGGCAATAACAAATTAATCCAAAAGTAAAGGTTAGTAACAACAAACTAATCCCAAGTAAAAGTTAATAACAACAAATTAATCCAAAAGTAAAAGTCAGTACCAACAAACTAGTCCCAAGTAAAGAACGTAAAGAACAAATTAATCCAAGTACACATTAAAATTGAAAACTAATGTAAATGCTAAGAGCAACAAATCAGTCCTCATTTCCCATGATTAACTATAGCAACACAAATCAATCACATTGCCTTGAAGAAGTATAATCATTTTTAAGAAACACCACAAACACAATAGCATATATATATATATATATATATATTAATTACTTACCAGGAATGACCAAAATTGCTAAACCTCCAAGAACCATGCTAAGGCATGCCATTGCCAGAAGTAGGAGAATCTGAAAGATAGATGATGTACAATATATTTTGTAGTTAATATATTGAAAGAATGAAAGATGGATCCTGTACAGTAAACAACATGATTAAAATGCTGAAGGAATTAAAGACAGACTTTGTACAGTGAATCTTTTGGTTCAATACTAAAAGAATGAAAGTACTACATTTAAAGACTGTATGTACTCAATGACACAGACTTTCATATGAGGTTGAGTTTTCACTCTGTTAGGCAACCTCTAAGCAGAGCCAGCATTGGGCAAAGCAAGATAGTTAGTTGTTTTATGCTTGATGTTTTAAATCTAACAAAATATTTTGAGTTATGTGCCATGACCAATTTAAGAGAATATAATTTAATTATATATGCACAAATTGATATGATAAAGTTGATAAGTGCACAATAGCCTAATAGAAAGAAATACAAGTGGGATGTATGCACTAATATTGTGACATCATGTATTTTTTAACCAATTTTATTTGACTTATAGAAGATGGCCCTGCAAGCTACTCTGCCTTTGAACCTCACAAACTCTAAGGCCAGCCAGCTCTGCCTCTAAGTGCTTATACTCATAAGTGTTTATACTCAAAAGTACAACAATATTTTAGTTGAATTTTATTTATATTTATAAACACACAAAAAGTATAAACCGTGACTTAAAAGGGTTTTTTATTCAAGGCTTTTCAATTGAGCAACTGGATAATTGGAACTTTCAATTTCTTAACTTTTTTGACAGTTACAACACAATCAGTGAAAAATAAAGACCAAATTATTTGAGCAATTCCCAAAAAAAGTTAAAGTTAAGTCAAAAACTATACACCTGAGGCCTAGCCAGTCTTCTTAACTAGGTTCAATAAATAAAATTTTAATTAGAAATGTTCAGGATAATAAAACCAGTTAAAACTTTGTTAACAAACATGAAAAAGTACTTTAATCTCAGCTGGATACCTTAATAACATGGTACTGAACAAAAACATCAGCTGTCAAAAAGTTTGGGTGAGTTTCCTATTTTAACTTTTGAAAAAAAAATAATTTTTTGACTAAATGTTACACACATGGCACCATTAAGGACCCAGATATCACTATTACAGCTAGATTTCTTTTTTGTTCTTCTTAAACTTATCATGAGTATTGCACTTTAGTTTGCTTTGTAAACCTCAAGGGATTCAGTAATTATTTTATTTTTGTAACAGTGAAGATACTTTGGCTCAGGTTTCAATTTTTTTTTTTAAATAATTTTATCATCTTGTTTGTTTTCAATGAAAATATAAATGATGCTTTCTGGATGCAAGATTTTTTAAAAAGCTTTTTACAAAATAATTTAAATATTCATTACCTGAATTAATGAGTAAGAATCATATGTAAATAAAATTTTAACTCAACGTTATGATAAAATTCATGCTTTTTCTTTTGTTTACTTTCCATTTAAGTGTTCTCATTAAAAATAGTCTATGACTTATGTCCTGACAAAGTTATTTTTTATGAAACAGAGCTACTTAACAGGTTCACAATGTAGTAAATTTATTAGATAATGAGAATGAAATACACGTATCAATTTTTAATAAACATAAATAAACATGTCTACTTAAGCAGGTTTTAGCAGTGACTAGGGTAGCCAACAGTAGTTTGAATTTGTGATTCTAATCTCTATCACAAAAAAGCTATTAAAACGTCGTGGCTCCCTGGTGGCTCATCAATAAACTTGAGGGCTTGTAGCACTAAACTTTGGGGTTCAATACTCATGATGGGTGCTGCACTGCTAACCAATTGTGTAGCTTACTCTTGAAAACAAATAAAATTTGTGATACTTTGTGGTTTAATTGATCTAGGAGTACTTTCTTCAGCAAATACAATAGTATTTTTTTAAATAAGATCGGGGATTATTACAACACAACGTAAAGGAACATGGGTGACATTATAGCAAATATATTTTACAGAAAACAATAATACAATCTGTATTACAAAATTCCCTGTACATTTGTCGTTAAACAGTAAATGAGTATGATATTCAGTTTCAAGCTGTTTGTTTCTAGTAGAATTATTTTGGTATCACAGCACTTACTCTGAATGATAAAAACGAAGCTAATTTATATTTTTGAGCACTGGAACCTTCTGGTGTTTGTTGCTTGATTAGTTTCCATTCTTGTTCATCCTTATTTTGTACCTATAAAACAGAGAAATTTATAGCACATTTCAATAATGTTATATATTTCATAAAATATCTAATTTCCCTTTGCATGCTATACTCAATTTAAATAAGAGTTGTGCACCATGACATACAATTTTTTTCTACAACAGCATCCCAATTATGATTCAATAAAAAGTACTAGTAAGTACTTTTAAGAGTAGCTCAGTAGGGGTCATAGAATAACAGAAAGTTTTAACAGAAAACATATTATGGCATGAATAAGAATTCTCAACTGAGTTTGAAGAAAAGAAAAAAATTGGACACAATGTATAACACAGTTAAGCAATCTTTATTTCAAACAACCAAAAGCAAAACCAAGTGTACTTTGTGACACCTTTACTGGAGAACTTTCACACAATAAGTGTATGCCAAATCTATCTATAAATCTGATATACATCTTATATCTTAGTCTACACTGAAAAAACTTGGCATTATATAAGACAAACAAAAATGTCATCCTTCTCAGTATTCAGGCACTCCCCATGTGACTGGTGGTCACTCTCATTACAAAATAAGGGATGTATTATTCTTGAAGTATCACCTGACCTTCAAATGGAAATGACCACTGTTTATTTCTATTCAGTATGTTCCACTTTACAGGAATTTTTCCATGAGAAAGAGTCTGTAATACCCTAGTTGAATGACCCAGTTACATCTTATATCTTAGTCTACACTGAGAAAACTTGGCATTATATAAGACAAACAAAAATGTCATCCTTCTCAGTATTCAGGCACTCCCCATGTGACTGGTGGTCACTCTCAATACAAAATAAGGGATGTATTATTCTTGAAGTATCACCTGACCTTCAAATGGAAATGACCACTGTTTATTTCTATTCAGTATGTTCCACTTTACAGGAATTTTTCCAAGAGAAAGAGTCTGTAACACCCTAGTTGAATGACCCAGTTTATTAGATAAAGTCGGGCAAGAAAACCTTAGTGGCTCCATTGACAGATATTCTATTTTAAGACTAAATATACAGCATGTGAAGAAATTTTGAAAAATGTTATATTAAATAAGGGATTAGGGATCTTGTAGTATTCTTGCACACCACAAATGCAGTTTGAAGATGTTTGAAAGCTCCAATAGTTTGTCATCTTATACATGTAGATGGCTCTTTTAAATGTATTATTGAATATATAAGTATATATATATATATATATATATATATATATGTGAGTATAGTAAATAATACTATATACTATTACTTTTACTTAACGTAAGAACTAATAATTACTACTTTATTTAGTTAGTAAATTATTAATTACTAG